TGGCCACAGAGTAGTGTCTGTATTCTTAACTACTCACCATACACATGCTTTTGCTATTATAGAGATACCTAGACTAAAGGCTAATACAAAATATATGAATCTGCTCAAATTGAAGTTCAAATACATGTATCTTATTGACCACAGGATAAATGATTCATTCACCAAAACTGTCAGTTTAATCTGAGAATTTGGGGCAACTACTTTCTTTAATAGTAAAACAAACATTTATAGTAATACTGATTTTGTTTTTGTGGTTGTTTCTGGTTCTAAACCTCACCCACCTCCCCCTCTCTGGTGTGAAGGATAAGCAATAACAAAGGAACACGCTCCCTAAACTGTTGTGGATGATGCACTTTAAAACAAAAACAAAAAAACCTACCTACTTCAATACAAAAATCTTACCCTTTTACTTCTAGACAGTCTGAATCTTGTAACAGTGCCAAACTGAGAGAAATATGCTCGGATCTGGGTTTCATAAAGTGCTGGAGGTAGGTGGCCCACATAGACTACTCCACGAGTAAGTTTTTCTTTTTCTTGCTTCTGTTGCTGAAGACATAAAAACCGTGTAAATACTTTAGTATGAAAAAAAAAATCACATTGCAACAAAACTTGCAAAACCCCTAGCTCTCAGGACAAGACAAGAGATGAAAAATCTACCCTGTATTTTTACTTACCTAAGCAGTAACTAAAGAGTTAGCTGTTTAATACCTTTCTCCCACGAGGACAGTGGTTAAGCATATAGATTGTCTTCTCGGCCCACCCAGCACAATGTAAGTACTCAATAACTAAACGTAGAATCAATGGCTCAGTAAGTCAATTTTCTAACACAGCATTTCAAATCTTTCGGCTGGAGAATTCCACATAAATGTACCTTTCAATTCTGTATGCAGATCACCGTTTACTCGTACCCACCCGATCGAACAATTTCCAGCCAACTATTAACCTTCGGCATGCTGACTAACCTTTCAGCATCTCAGTTATCATGCCCTTGCCTTTTGTAACAAGAACTTACGTGTATTTTATGCTAAAAACCAAGGCAAATTTAACTTGATGTCAGGGGTCCTATTCAGTAAATGGAACTTGGCAAATACTGTCTTTTAAGAACCCCCAAACCACCAACTGGGCAAACACACCTCCAGAATTCCGGGGCAATGCGGAAGCGTGACTGCTCCAGTTTGGTGCTAATTTGCGGTATGACAGGGCCATCCCCAACAGCCGGCTCTTTTTTCCTTGCGTTATACCCCTTAACTCTATAGGAGGATCCTAAGGCCTCCACGGCCAAACCCGTCATTTCCTGATCAGCAGAAACCTCCCTCGGGGAAGCCTCGGCCTCCAAGCTCGTGAGGTCGGGAGCCAACCGGGAAGAGCCTGGAGGTAGCAGAAGCGTGAGGATGGCAGGCGCACCCGGAAAGGGAACCGCACAGGATTCCGCGCGGTCTCGGAGACTCCTCAGACTCCGAGGTAGGTCTGCGGCGGCCGCTCACCTTGGTTGCCCGCCGACGAACCTGAGCCACCTCCTTTTGAAACTTGGCCTCCTCCTGAGGGTTCAGGGACAAGAGTGGCTTGGCAGGGCCTGCAAAGACCGCCATCCCAAAAGCTTTCAAGGCGACGATCTCCACGAGGCAATCCCGGAAATGACGATCGCGCAGCTCCTCCAAAGCGGAAGTGGAGGCTGGAGAGGTGCGCAAAGAGACCTGGGGCGGAGTGGAGTCCGGGGCGGGGCGGAGTGGAGTCCGGGGCGGGGCGGAGCGGAGTCCGGGCGACCTCTGCTGGCAAGCGCCAGTTGGCCTCTCTCACACCTGCCACCTGTCTAAAGTGGTGGATTGTAACTTACGCCTACTTTGCGGCCAATTTCAAGGGGGTGACGAGGTGGTTTTAAAAAAATAAATTGTAAAATAATACCCATGATCTTGAGGTCTTGCTAACCATTCTTTAAGTCTTTTACTTTTTTTCACTCACTTGTTTTGTGAGCTCTTACTGTACATTATTGTGCTGCTGTCCTTTAGGCAACTTCCAGACTGGGGAGAGGGCTGGATAAAGGACATTTGAGGGTGGAATTGGTGCTATGGAGGGACCTAAGAGCCCTGTGGGCGAGAGGCACACTGGGTGACTAACGAGAGTGTCCTGGAGGAGTTGGAATTTGAGCCGAAACCTGAAGGCTGGAAGGAGCCGCATTTGAAGACCTGGAAGCGCCCATGCAGTACAGCGCGTGCAGTGTCCTTAGTACTGGAAAGAAGGAATCTGCCAGTGTGGTTTGAGCTCAGTGAATGACGAGAGAGCTTGGAGGCAGGCTGGAGCTCCAGAGCTCTGCATGTCAAGGTTTAAAGCTTAGTTTTTCTTGTAAATACAAGGGGATGTGAGGGTTTTAAGCAAGGCTGTGGCTGTTTATCCCTTTCAAATACTAATCTAGTAAGGGTGGAAAGTGGATTACAGAGGAAGCAATGAGAGGGAAGCTACAGGAATAGTCCAAGCAGAACTGCTCTGGGGGCTAATGTCATCAAATGTTCTGGAACCAGTGAGGGCTGAATATGGCTGGTGCCCATGTGTATGTGCGGGAAGAGTGGAGGTAAACCTGTAGGATAGAGTGGCATGGATGTGGATTGTACTGTGAGGGCCAGCCTGCTTCTTCTGGAAGGCACGTGCCTCCCATGCCTGCCATTGTCTCCTTCAACCCAGTCTCCCTCAGCTCAACTCAACTGTCACCTCTTAAGGCTAGCCTTCTGTGACTCTGTAGCTGAGGTCAGCTCTTTCTATTAAATGCTCTCTTACAACTGTTTTCATGAACAGGTTGGATTGTAAGGAGAGTGTAAGCTGAGAGCAATTTTATTCTTTCTCAGGACTGCACCTTTTCATGGGCTTGTTCCCCTAGGTGAAATCTTGAGAGAGAGCTCTTCAGATATCAGTAAGTAGCAACATTTTCCAAGTGTTCAAAATCTAACATCAAATGTCTTCTTTCCCCGCTCAGATCTGTTTCAGGTGAGAAATACTCGTGTAGGTGTTGGGAAAGGTAATCTAATGCCTGATAACTCAACTTTTTGTAACACAAAGTTTTGTAAGTTGGTACCTAATTCTTTGCTTTCAAAAGCATTGAAGGAAAGCCTATTTGAAATGTCCACAATAATCATTAAAAACAATTTTGAATGATAACTTATTGTTACATATGGCCAATATCTAGCAAGGAACTTAAGATATTGAATGAAATTGCTATAAGAGAATGCCTTCCATTCCTCTTTTTATCTTTTAATGAATATCTTAGCCTGAATTCTCAAGAAGACAAAGTCTAAAACAAAGATTAGGTACTAACATTTTATTTGGGTGGGTGGATGAATTTCAGGTCATTGAGAGTAAGGGACAAATGGAAGTAAGGCAGCAAAAGACAGAAAGCAAATACAAGATGATGCATTATTACATTGGTCACAGTATCACAAGAAACCTGGTTGGTTGCTCAGTTACATGGGATATTTCTGCATTTCTGGAGAGATTGCATGGAGCTGTTTCTTAGGACATCTGTTAGGAAGAGGAAGGGCAAGGACTTTATCTGTGGGCTTGTAACAACATCCTGCCTTTCACTGGTCAAAGTTTGCCCCTTGTCCCTGGAGCGCTGACCTCACACACTTTCAGATTATGTACACAGCCCCTTTGGGAAGCTATTGATGAAGCTAGAGCCTCTATGAATTAAGCGGGGGAGGTGGGACTGTGCTACAGCAGCTATAAGGAGTATGATGAAGGCGGTGCTGAAGCCTAACCTATGCCTCAGGGGAGGCTGAGTCACCAGTGGGATTAATTAATGCAGTGAAGATGTTGGGTGGGACTTTCCCCTGAGAGTTTTCTAGGCTCCACATTGCTTCTTATAAAAAGTAATGAGGGAAGTCTCCTCCGGGGATAATTACTGTGAATTTAATTTCTCAGCAATTCTATCTATCTATCTATCTATCTATCTATCATCTATCTATCATCTATCTGTCTATGTATCTATGACTAGAATGTTCACCTACAGGTACATGAACAAATTAGTAAAAGAAAGAACATAGCCATATTCATCTCATCTAGAGACTACTTCCATTAAAACTTTACTTTGCTTTTGTAATATTTATAAAATGTATAATACATTTGTCGTTTTGATCAACTGTGTACTACTGTTGAATAATCTAGAAGGAATTTCAACATCTAGCTCCTTGTAATATGAAATTTACATTTTAATTTTTATTAATTTTTATAGAGAATAATGATGGATAATCAAAAGATTTAAACAATAAATATTTTTATGTTAGGTTAAAATTCTTGTGGGAGAAGTGGAATGGAAATAGTTGTTAAAAAAGGCTTTATAAAAAAAGGCTTTATAAAATAGTATGAATGTTTCTCAAAAAATTAAACATTGTATTACATATGACCCAACAGTTCCACGTCAAGTTATGTACCCAAAAGAACTGAAAACAAAAGCTCAAGCAGATATTTGTATACTCACGTTCATAGCAGCATTATTCATAATAGCTAAAAGGTGGAAACAACCCAATGTCCATCGACAGATGAACAGATAATGTAGTATATACATAAAATAGAATATTATTTAGCCTTAAAATAGAATGAAATTCTGACACATGGTACAATATGGATGAACCTTGAGGTTATCAATATGCTCAGTCAAATAAGTCAGTCACGAAAAGGCAAATGTTGTATGACTTCACTTCTGTGAGGGATCTGAGTAGCCAAATTCATTGAGATAGAATGTAGTCTTCTACACAAATTATTGCTAATCCTTGTAACTTTTAGAGCTAGAGATTACAAATTCTAACTTGACAAATGAGAAAAGACTCCCTTACCAGATACTTAAAAATCTCGATTTTTGGAAAGAAGTTATTTGGCACACTCCTGTTTCTAGAATTTTGTTACAATCTTTGAGTTGGCAAGGAAAGACGTTGCAGGATGTGAAAAATTAATTTGGATTTGTATGAAGTCAGATAATACAAAAAGTGGTGCTCAGAACACATTTGGCAGATATTCTTAATAAAAATGAGCTCCTATTGCTATTTTCATTCTTTTTTTGGATGAATTATGAAATTCTATTGCTAAATTTTTGGTCTATGAATTGGCACATTATGTTAGCAGCACACAGGCAAAAAAACAGAAAAACAAACAAAAAATCTTTGTTACCGAGCAAGTTGCAAAAACTGATCTTTTCTAATCTGCCACATTCTAGGGCTGTAGAGGTCAAGTTAGATACTTAAAGCCTCATGCAAATACTGTTAAATGGTAGATAGATGATAATAGCATAGTGATTAAGACAAAGCATTTGGATCCCAGTTTCAACACTTAATAGCTGCCTAGGGAAGTCAATTAATGTGTTACCATAGTTACTTCACTTATAACAGTATCAATACGATCCTTCAAGCAAAGTTTTAGAATAATGTCTATTCTAAACAAATTGTCATTTAGTTGGTATGAGTAATTATTTTAATTCACTTGGAGAGTGAATCTTACATATACAAACACATTTGTATTTGTTGGGTAGATGTTCGGAATAAGTCTGCAAGGACAAACGAGACATCCTTACATCACTTGCCTCAAGTAAGTGGAATTGGGGGAAGGAGGTGTTAGCTGAGTGGAAGAGAAACTTCTCACGGTATACGTTTAAAAAAATCATATAATTTGAAAACAGGTAATACATTCAGAAAACGCGTAAAAAAAGCACAGAAAAAATTTTCGCTCCCAATCCGTCCCACATACTTTCATTTTCCCGTTTATTTTTTGCAAATACAAATGCATTTATTCCTTATTCTTATACGAAGACTGCAATATCTCTATATTCTTCAGCACCTGGCCTACTGCACATACTCTTTAGTACTGAAACAAACGTCCCCGCCCCCCAAAAGGTGTGGTACGAAATACGTTGTATAAGCTACCAGGAAGCGCTCGCTTTACCTCCAAACCACGCCCCGCCTCAGTCCCACGTGCCCCAGGACCCCCACCCCAGTGAGCTGTTTCCGGCGAAGCCGGTTTGAAGATTCCCCGGGCGGAAGCCCCGCCCAGCTGCCCTGCCCCGTCCTCTGGCCGTGCTGTTCCGCTCAGCAGGAGGCGGGCGGCACCTCAGGCATCGTTGCAGACAGCCCGGCTTCCTGCGCGCCGCTGCCGTCGGAGGACCTCAGCGACGGCCGAAGGATAGGGCCCAGTGGACGAGGCGGCAGCGGCGGTGGCCGTTGCAACTGAGTGCACTGTTTCCCTGTGGAACGCATTTAGCTGGCTACCCTCGCAGCACTGGCTGATAGTTGTGTGCCCGGCGCCATGTCTGTGAGCGAGATCTTCGTAGAGCTGCAGGGCTTTTTGGCTGCCGAGCAGGACATCCGGGAGGTGAGCCTTTTCTCTCCCCAACCCCTTTCCCTTTCCCTTCCTAGCTGGGCCACATCGCTCGGCCCTTTTCCGTCGCTCAGTCTCCAGCGGTGGGGAAGCCTCCGAGGGTGGGTCGCTTCCCTTCTTGTTTCACCTGAGGGCTAGTTCTCCCCGCTCTTATTCCGCTTCCCAGTCTTGATTTCTTGTTTTCAGATTTCGGCTCCTTGGCATCACCTACCTCATTTGAATGCCAGTTTTCTCTTTTCTAGCACTTGTTTACATCGAAGACTCAGGTCTTGAGACTCAGACAACGCGCATTTTATGTGTTGTGGGTGTTTTCGA